CATGCCACCATGTCTGGCTAATTTTTGTATTTTTAGTAGAGACGGGGTTTCATCGTATTGGTCAGGCTGGTCTCGAACTCCTGACCTCAGGTGATCCAGCTGCTTCAGCCTCCCAAAGTGCTGGAATTACTGGTGTGAGCCACTGTGCCTTTTCTTAGGGAGCTCACAGTTCACTGGATGAGACAGAAGGAAGCTGATTCTGAAAGGAAACAGGGTGTGGTAAAGATGGGGCAGAGGGGTGAGCACAGAGGGGATCAAGAGAAGAGGGAGAAAGACCACTCATTGGTGCAGCCTTTCTGGGGAGCAGTGTGTGAGCTGAGCTTTGTAAAGAAATGAGGTTTTAATAAGTGTGGGAGGAGAGCCCTCCTGAGATGTATGGAGAGACCAATGCCCCTCTTCCCTGCCGCTCCCCGTCCTGCAACTGTTCCCTTCTTCCCTCTGTCTCTGCTCAGCAGTCACAGCAACTCTCCAAATCATGATGCTCAAAATGCCACATCTAAAAAGAACATCTGGGTAGGTGCCTCTGCTTCTTCTGACTTGGCCTCCCTTCCCTGCCCTCTTGGTCTCATATAGTTCTTTCCATTCACTCAATCTCCACACTCGCTCGACAGCAGATGAAAACATTTGGTCTCTGAATCCCCATCTGCTTGTGTATGATTTGTATCCTCTGTGAGTCAACAAGGTGAACATATTCCTCATTTGGTTGCGGGATTTTTAAAAAACGTCTCCAACAGGCTCTGCCCCTAAGAAAGTAAATTCATGCACCTGCAAAGAGAAAGGAAAGGGACAGCCATCCACCTTTTGACTCCTGAGTTTCCATCTGCACCCTTCAACACTTATTAGGACTTATATGAAACTATGTGACAACTTTTTGTTTCTATTAAACAAAATACAGCTTTCTTCCTTGTATCTGAAGAAGTTGGCACCCTCTATGCAGAATAAGAGACGCACAGTTCCAACAGTTATTGTATACATCACTGACCATGTTAATGACTCCACAAAATCAATCACGGGTCCACCAAATATTCTGTTGAAGATTAAATTATAAAATTGAACTCCAGCAACGTGCATATGCAGTTAATAAACCCAGGGAAAAGATCAAAATGGGACCTATATAAAAATTTTAAAACTTTTTATTTATTCTGTTTCTCATGCTTGCTGAGGCTGGAGTGCAGTGGTGTGATCTCTGCTCACTGCAGTCTCCACCTCTGGGGTTCAAGCAATTCTCCTGCCTCAGCCTCCTGCATAGCTGGGACAAGTGCATGCCACCATTCCTGGTTAATTTTTGTATTTTTAGTAGAGACGGGGTTTCTACTAAACCCCATGTTGGCCAGGCTGGTCTTGACTCCTGGCCTTAAGTGCTCTACCTGCCTCGGCCTAACAAAGTGCTGGGATTGCAGGAGAATGAGCCATCAGACCCAGCTTTTTTTTTTTTTTTCCTTGAGACAGGGTCCCACTGTGTCATCCAGGCTGGAGTGCAGTGGCTCAATCATGGCTCACTCTAGACTGGACTTCCTGGGCTCAAGTGATCCTCCCACCTTAGTCTCCAGACTAGCTGGTACTACTCACACTGTACACAAAAATTAATTCAAAATACATCAAAGACTTAAATATAAGAACTAACTATAAAGCTTTTTGAAGAAAACATAGATAAACGTAGATAAGTCTTTGTGACTTTGGATTAGGAAGCAATTTTTTTTTTTTTAGATGGAGTTTTGCTCTTGTTGCCCAGGCTGGAGTGCAGTGGCACCATCTCGGCTCACCACAAGCTCTACCTTATGGGTTCAAGCAATTCTCCTGCCTC